CAAGCTGCCCCTGCCTCGCCCCGCAGCCGGAGTCAGCCCAGCCGTGCGCGCTGGCTGGCACCGTGGACACATGCCATGCGGGATGTGTGGCTCTTGTGGGCACACGGGGCGGTGGGGAGGGAGCTGGGAGTGTGGGGACTGACCTTCCCCAAGTAAGGCTCAGAGCACAAGAGAGTGGGTCAAGGTGACCAAAGTTCACGCCAATGCCTTCTCCGTGTTCTTGCTTCCTGGTCCAGGCAGGAGCCTAACCCACAGGGACATGAGGACCTTGAAATCTTCATCCTTAGCCCGCATCCTGCCATTCAGAGCCCTTGGAGGCAATTCAGTGTTCCCAGCAGGAAGATGGGTGCACACATTAGTGTTAGGGTTTCTCCGGGAGCATGCAAAGAATTGGGCAGGCAGCTCCCTACCATTGGGATCCTCTGAATCTCTACAAAGGCAAAATGCCATGGGAGCCCAAACAATCGCTATGATTACAGGGGTATTCAGGGATATTCAGATTAGATCTCAGGGAGGCGGAAACTGGCTGAAATCATGGGGAGTTTTTAAGAGGAGGAGGCCACGGAGGGGTGGCTCCCTTAGGCTTTCTGCCTCCCATCTTTCTTCCTTGGTCCCAGGCCTGTGCCTGTCTGTCCCTCTCTGGAATAGCCATTTATAAGAATAGCGTTTCTCTAAAAGGCCCACAGCCCTCCCAAAAGCAGCCTGGGAGCAATGCGCTTGGCCTGGCGAGGACATGCTTTTCCTCAAGGAGGATCTGCCCAACTTGGAGGCTCCTTGATAGAAGCAGCGCTAGGCGTTATAGAAGGGACTGGGCACCTATGTTAATACATGATTTCTGTCCCAGAGCGTCCTCCAGAGGCCCCATGGTGACCTGGATTCCTTCCCAGCTCCCTGTGCGTGGCTCCAGAGCTGTGACTGTTCCCAGTGGGCAAGCCTTCTTCCCACCTCCTGGGCTGCAGTCCTGGTGTTTTCCCAAGTGCCTGCTCACAATTATTATTTTACTAAATTCTCACCAGAGCTCTGCCACCTGAGGCATTATCCCCCCGGGGTTTAATAGGCCGAAACTGACGTTCAGAGATGTTTAGCAACTCGCTGAAGGCCTCACAGCTCATCAGAGTCAGGAGTCAAACCCAGGTCTGTCCTATGGCAAAATCCACCCAGTTTCCAAGCAGCTGTGCCTACGACCAATTGCCTACAAGTTATTTCAGTCTCACGGAATTCCCTTTCTGCAAAATTGAACCAAATGGCTTTTAAAGAAGCAAAACAATGAGTTCTTCCTTCCTTAGAGCCAAGTCTGAAAACATTACGGGTCAAGTAGGAAAATATGAGTTTCTCACCTCGCAGTTCTGAAGTACCTACTTAATATAAACATTTTTTTTAAAGAAAAAAAAGACTAGGATTGTAAAGAATAAAATTTGCTCTTGTCTGAAAAGGACATATAATAGATTTGAAGAGGCCATCTAAAAATTAACATAATTTGACCATGCAAAAAAGATAGTAAGGCGTATAAATATTAACTTATTCGAGTCAGATTCTGTAGAACCAATGATTGCAACCATGTCACTCACAAGCAAACTGGTTTATGACTCCTTTGAACAATCTAGCATCCTACAGAAGTTCCTAAGAGCTGTCATTGGTGGCCGAATCTGCCGGAGACAGAACAGGGTAGAAGAAATCAGATAGGCCACAGAAGTGAAATGGATATTGAGATGGCAAAATAGCGGACACAGACAGAAACCCTTTAGGAAAAAAAAAAAAAACTGGGAAAGGATTTGGGGGATGAAAGACAGAGTGGAAAAAGGCTTTGAATTCTAAACCAATGATATTTAGACACTTGCTATCGCTGCTGGGGAAAGTTAATTCCTTTCTGAGCCCGGCAATGCTCTGAATAAGGGGGGGCTTAATTTATGGAAATTAATCTGAGTAAAGGGCTCAGGGTGGATTGAGGCAGGGATAGCAAAGCATTCTGGAACTAGGTGGCAGCAACTGAAGAGGAAAAGCAGGGGACCACACAAAGGAATTATTAGGACTTGGTAACTGGGGGCATCATACCACCAACAGACATCATTTCTGCATCCTCTGCAGATCAAGGTGCAAAGGGCCAGACACGATGCTAGCATCTCATGAGGGTTTTAAAAATATTATTACGTGCCGAAACCGATTTGGCTCAGTGAATAGAGCATCAGTCTGCGGACTGAAGAGTCCCAGGTTCGATTCCGGTCAAGGGCATGTATCTTGGTTGCAGGCACATCCCCAGTAGGAGGTGTGCAAGAGGCAGCTGATCGGTGTTTCTCTCTCATCAATGTTTCTGACTCTCTATCCCTCTCTCTTCCTCTCTGTAAAAAATCAATAAAATATATTTTAAAAATAAAATAAAATAAAAATATCATCACATGTTAGCCCTCACGATTTCTTTCAAGGTAGTGTAATTATGCCTTTTTGAGAGACAAGGAAACTGAGATTCCGGGAGATTAGGGAATTTAGTCGCCATCACAGGGTGTGAGGAAACAGCCAGAATCCAAACCCAGGATTTTCTGTTTCCACAGTGAAAGCCTCCCTAAGAATAAATGATGATATAGAGCATTATCATTTTACTGAGTAGCCATGTCCCAACGCCTCTGTTTCTGGCCTTGTAAATCCCCTATTTATCTTCTCCACCAGCCAGTGAAGTAAGCATTGTTACCCACAGAGTATTCAAGGAGTTGAAAGAACTTCCCAGCCTTGCAGAGATGTCCAGGCTGGAAGCCAGGGTTTGGGGCCAGGCTTGAACCACAAAGGGTGGACTTTCTCCCAACCTCCACACCGGTGCATGCTTTTGCACTCACCGGCATTTCCTGGGCACCAAGTTTGTGCTGTGCCCCTCCCCCCATGAGCTCTGAAGGCACTGAGCTGCACATGGCAGCCAGTAACCCCACTGGAGGAAGGGAGGGGAGTGTACAGGGTACATACACACTACCCTAGTGTGCTACTGAGTGAATAGCAATTAAGCTTTAACAGCCTTTATTGAACCAGACACAATGCTAGATTCTCACGAGTGTTTTCTCTTCATTCTTGCTATACCTTATTGCTATTTCCACTCCTCAGATGAAGAAGTAAGCCAGGCCAATTTGGCTCAGTGGGTAGAGCATCCACTAGTGGACTGAAGAGTCCCAGGCTCAATTCTGGTCAAGGGCACATGCCCAGGTTGCAGGCACGATCCCCAGAAGGGGGCATGCAGGAGGCAGCTGATCAATGATTCTTATCATCAATGCTTCCATCTCTCTCTCCCTCACCCTTCCTCTCTGAAATCAATAAAAATGTTTTTAAAACCTAAAAAGAAAAGAAATAAGCCAGGTCACAGAAATTCCCAAGTTCCTTCAAGGCTAATAGGTGGCAGATAAATCCAGGTCTTTCTTACTCCAAATTTCTTATAAATTGTACTTTTGCTTTTTTTTTTTTAAAAAAAATCCCATATATTCAATCAAACTAAGTCCTAATAATACACACAAACCATGCATGCACACTTTGCACCTCTAATTAAATCCACGTTTAACAGACATCAATCTATATGTCAAGAAGCAGTTTTTAAACATGTGTATACCTAATAAAATCTTTCTTAAGGGAACACATAAATATGTATTTTCACTGATCAACTCTTCTAAGTCTATTATAGGATTAAAATATATGTCAATTTCACATTTTCAAAGAAGAAGAGGGAATGTATAAATACATATTCAATCAATAGATGCCACCAACTTCGAAGAGAGGCATTACAGTCTGCTGGGTCTACTTAAAACACCTTCCAAACACAAATACAAATCCAACAGCTTCAATGCATATTTACTGACGGGACTCTTCTCGTCTCCGGGGTAAATACTATGCAATTTTATACCTTTTATGAATCTTCTTTTCTTCCTCTAAAGCAAACAAAATCATCAAAACTGTATTTAAATCGCAATAAGGTAAGGGAACCAACCAACCGAAACCAGGCAATTGTGCAATGAAGCTGATTGTCACACTTTTACTTCTGCCCATGCTTCTTTCCTTTGGACCAGGGAGAGCTGCTAGGCACATCTCTCCAATAAAGTCTCTGGCTTCTTAGATGCAGATGGGAAATGGGGCATGCTGAGCCAAGGCTGGGTTCTTCACAGGTGAGAGGTAAACCTGGGTCCCAGTCCTGCTAGCTGCGTGATAAGGATGCAATGACTTCCTCTGACCCACATTTAATGGTGGTTTTTGTTTTTGTTTTTTGTTGTTGTTGTTACACAAAGGACTACATTAATGAAGAGATTGCCTTTGGGTAATTCATATATTCATTCATTCATTCATGGAGTAGATATTTATTATGTACCTACTATAGTCCAGGTAAATACCTACTATGCATGATATACAAGAGGTATAATATACATCCAGGAAAAAAAGGCTGTCCTCAGCCACCTAAAGCTCAGAGTAGTAGGGGAGACACATATTCAACAATTCATGATGTCA